GAAAGCCCCAAGAGATGGGTACTCCAACATTCTTTATAGGACTAATGTTGGATCTTCCATAGGGACGAGCAGAAGTAGCTTTCCTGGGTCCACTATCGACAAAGCAGGGTACTTCTATTCCCCGCCCATGAACGTGCACTGTCATGATCTCTAGATCACCACGATCGTTGAATTTTGCCCCTAGATATTGGTCGGAGGGATACAAGAGGCGACAATAAAGAACGAGAATTAGAAGGGCTGGGATGGATTGGTTCATGTTTGAACTAATTTTCCCACCGAGAGGAGGCTACATATGCAAGCGTTGCACGTCGCCATACACGAGTCTCTACTACAAAAAGGCACTTGCAAGTTAGAATCCACATTGTACTACGCGGGAGAGGATTTGCAGGACCCAACGGCCCTCTCGTGCATTTTGTCGGCCATAATTGCGTCGTTAGTTGGAAATTTGTTGGGTCGCAACATGCGTGTTAGTGTTTGATTACTGTGGCATGGTCCCATGCATGCTTTGGTCAGATGTGGCGGAATCATGAGGCACATGCAACTGTTGTCCAAGTGCATGCTCAGGCGAATGCGTGTTGTTTCAAATTTCTCTATTTAATCCCTAGCAAGCTCCGAGAAGAGAATAGTCTTAACAATACTTTTGTAGTTTATTTTCTCCAAATAAAACTCTTGTTAGTAGCTGATTTTCACGAATTTTAGTTGAGTATACTTGCATCTCTATCCTAAAATGCCTAGACATTAAGCGCTCATCCTAGCAAACTTCAACTTGTGAATCTGACAGTGGTTGCCTATGCCAAAAGGGTTAGGGCATTTCTAACCGATCCTTTAAAAATAGTGGAGTATCCGGTGAAGTAAATCTTTAATGGAGTATATTACTCCACTAAGTTTTGGCCGGACCTAGCCGATCCTTAAGTACTTCCTCCGTCCCCAATTACTCGTCGTTGAAATGGATGTATCTAGAACTAAAATACATCTCGATACATCCATACGTGCGACAAGTAATTAGGGACGGAGTGAGTACAACGGAGTAAAACTTACTTTTGGTTGATGCATTTCACCGAACACTTGTCATGCACGTATGCACATATATAGAGTGATTGACTAGCCGCCGATGCTTCGGTACTTAGCACCCGGACGGAGCAGTCCTTAGCATGACATGAGCTCAGTCAGCCCCTAGCGACGCGTTGGCATGAGCAGTGCTCGGAGAGCATGAGCATGAGCTCTTGGCTGCTCTCGGTGCTACTGTGGGTCGTGCACTCGGGCGAGAGACGGAAGAGAAGCGATGCCAAGGAGATGGGCTTCAAATATTTTGAAATGGAGGGAGTAGCAAGGAGAGCATTCGCGTGCTAAAACCTGTGTCCGAACGTTCGCTCTCTAGGTTTTTAGGTGTACGCGTCTACTCCACCAGACGCACCGGCACACCAGCAGATATGTTTTGACCACCTCCGGCTGCAGCAGCACGCGCGCGAGCGAGCGACGACTCTCTTCTGTTTTTCCGTCCTGCTCTCTTCTCTGACTCTGTCATCCTTGCCTTCAACGCCATTTCAAACCACACCCGCACCGCGATCGCCGCCACCACCGCCGGATGCCGATGGCCGCGCCGCAGACTCGCCGCCACCAGGCCGCCTTCCTCCGCAGCAAGCCCCCCGCCCCCGCCCCCGCCCCTCCCAACGGGAAGGCCGGCGCGACCAATGGGAAACCCGCCGCCGCCTCCTCCAAGCCCAACTCGCCCGCCTCGCCCGCCCAGGCACCACCAACGTACGCTCTCCGCCGATCGTCGGTTCGTTCCCTTCCGCTTGATTTTGATTCGAACGATTTATACATGCGGTGTTTATGAATGTGGCGTAGGTCGTCGCTGGAGGATAGGACGGTGAAGCAGCTCAGGCTGGCCAAGGCCCTGACTCTCCCGGAGGCCACCGCGGTGTCCGAGGCGTGCAGGAGGATGGCCGCCAGGCGCGCCGACGCCGCGCTGCTCACCGACGCCAGAGGGGTGCTCTCAGGCATCGTCACGGCCGAGGTCAGAAACTCATCACAAGGAGTCTTGAGTCTTTGCAACGTGAAAACAGGGAATATCAACTTTAAACTGCAGGGGAATGATAATGCGATTCTTGGGGCTGGCGCTGGATGACCCAAAAATTTCGAGTGTCTCTTGAGATGAGCTGCAATTCTGCACGGTCATGTGGATAACATAGTTTCTTGATTTCTTCGGATGCCAAGTATGTAAAATCATATCATATTTTCAGGGAAAATGAGACTGACATGCGCTTTGCTATTTAGGACAAACTGGAAAGGGGGATTGGGTTTAATGAATAGATATAACAAACATTAAACTGTTGGGTTTTCGGGGGGTTTTCTTAAGGAATTGGATGTGGTTAATGACGAGCATCAGGTTTTCTATGAATCAATAGTGATGGATACACAGAACTATTTATTGCCACCGAGGCACTGCAGAAGATGGTCCAAGGTCTGCTTGTTGTTTTTCTTCAGTACCACAATTAGCAGTATTTGTTGCCAGTTTCGCCTTCAGTCATAATCATAGCGATGTATTTTGTCAGTAACTGAAGTCGTGGCCGAATATAAAACCTACTTAGGCCTCCTTTCTAAAAATATATGTGAGAAAACAAATAATCTGCAACTGAGAGTCATCTTGAATTGAGGAATAGTGTAACTCGGAGCAATTTTATTACATCCTAGCTAATAGCCAGAGGCAAGAACTGCAAGAGGAATAGTGTGCCTGAAAGTACAAGAATGTTCTCTTAAGAAATTTCTGTCGTGTTTTATGCTGGGATTTTGTTGTCATTCTTATTGACCTCTTCTATCTTATCTTCATGGTTTCTTTCATGTCATATGAATTCATATACAGGCAAATTTCGGCATCTTCCTGTAGTGGAGCATGGTGAGGTCATTGCCATGTTGGATATTACCAAGTTCCTCTATGATGCGATTTCTAGAATGGAAAAGGCAGCAGAACAAGGTAGTGCTATTGCCGCTGCTATGGAAAGGGTCGAACGGCAGTGGGGAAATGAATTTGCAGGTTGCTTTTTCAGTTTCTTTTAATATGATTAAATTGACTACTTTTTTACAAGAATACTTATTTCAATTTTCATGATCACCAATGATGCATTTCATTCAGGTCTGTTTGATTAACTAGCTGATGTCATATTTTGGGTCCTTACTTCAGGTCCGCACACGTTAATAGAAAATCTTCGAGAACACATGTTCAAGCCTTCCTTATCAACTATCATAACTGAAAATAGCAGGTCAAATTTCTACTGCCAGAAAAATGTATGATGTGATTTTGTTTCTTATGACTGAACATTGCTGTCGCTTATCCTTTGTAGTGTTCCATCAGTATCTCCATCAGATCTGGTAACTGTAGCTGCCAAAAAGATGAGAGAGTACCAAGTTAACTCAGTGGTTGTCATGACAGGGAACATGCTGCAAGGCATTCTCACGTATGTTCTTATCAAAATCCGCGTAGTTTTAAAGTTTTCCCATCTCATTTATTTGTTAAGTACTATCACCAAGATGCTGAGCATACTGTAGTTCCAAGGATTTGGTTTTGCGAGTAGTGGCACAAAATCTGTCCCCAGAGGTGACTGCATCCATATTTTAAGCAATCAAGATTTTTGCCCTATTTTTCTCCTAAAGCGATGTTAACTTTCCGAAGGTCATGACTGCAAGTCCTGATTGTGCTACATTGGACACATCAATCCTCGAGGCTCTACAATCAATGCAAGATAGAAAATGTCGTCATATTCTTGTTGCGGACAAAAGTAAGTACTGAATTCTAACATCAAAGAAAAGTTCCGTTCTATGTACATATCTAAGTTAAATCTTTGAACAGGAGGACAGATTGTCGCCTGTTTGGACGCTCTACAGTTAACCCACACAGCCATCTCCATGGTAAGAATGAATTATTATGTTTCCACTACCATACTGCACATTTCATTATTTCCTCATATTAAAGAGAAAGAACAGTACTTTCTTGGAAGGTGAAGCTTTCATTCTGAAGGGAAGTCCCTGGCACATGAGTTCTATTTTTGTTGCATCAAACTGATTCAGTCACGATATTTTACATTAGTTGAATTAAAGATTCTGTTAGCTATGATCGTTTTGTTGCACCATACAAATACATTATTTTTATTTCTCATCACCATATAATCCTGACTTTTTGTGTGTTCTCATTAGGTTGAGGGAGCCTCTGGACCAAACGATGTGGCAAATACCATGGTTCAGAAGTTTTGGGATTCAGCACTTGCCTTGCATCCTGCAGAAGACTATGACTGGCATAGGTTTGTTCTTCTTCGATTTGCATTTACTCTTGCATTCCTGAAGATGGTTTGATCAGTCTTCTGTTATATAGTGCAGTGACGAATCTCGTACGGCAGCCTCAGACAGTGCTGAAGGAAAGCAAACACCCCCTCATGTTGGCAATGCATTCTCTTTCAAAATTGAAGACAGAAAAGGGCGAATGCACAGATTCAGTTGCGGTTGGTGCATTTCTTATCGTCTTTCCCTATTGCGGTTTACTGACGAAGTATGATAAATTTGTTTGTCTTCCTGAAGAACTTCTGATAGGCTCCTCCTTTATGCAGTTTCAGAAAGCTTAGAAGAGCTTGTGTCTGCTATTGCATACAGATTAGGAACAGAAAACAAGAAGGCGAATGTAAACCTTATGGTAAGAGGTTGAGCTTTGCTAATGCAGTGTGCCTCCAAGTGAGCAACAAGCCGAGCAAAATCTTGTAGATGGGATTTTGTTTTTGGGTATAATTTGTGGACCTATGTACGTTTTTAATCCTTACTTAAAATCGTTTTCAACAGTACAATGACGACGAAGGTGATAGAGTACTTCTGGCTACCGACGCCGACCTGGTTGCAGCAATTGAACATGCCAGATCAGCAGGATGGAAGGTTGTTTTTCTATTCTTTTGTATACCAACATCTTGAATTCTCCGCATGTCGTCTGCATCCTCGGTAATGTAGCTGTGCCGCAACCTAAGTGCGACCGATCATTTTTAGTTTCTTAGTTCTTCTTCTTGCAACTTAGGTTCAGTAATTTACTTTGAGGTTCAGTCTTTTTTGGCATTTCGTTTTGCTGTTTCAGGTTCTGAGGCTGCACATGGACAACGGGTCAAAGATCAGCGCAGATCCCACACCGGCGTCGTCTGTGGATACCTCATCAGCAAGGAGAAGCTGGCCGTCCCTCCGGCTAGGTACAGTGGCCAGTGCAGCTGCTATTGCTGGCGTCGGGGCAATCGTCTACTTGAGATGCTCTCGGCAATGACTTCAATATACATACCTCAGACTCAAAGAGCATACTTCAACACTGCATAGATGTACTACGCAGGAGGAGGATCACACAAATCACGGCGGCAATAAGGCTCTTGCCAAGCCTCTACACTGAATTTTTCTCCAGGGTTTGCAGTCATTCTAAATGGACTTCAGAGAGCGTTTCTTCTTCTTCTTTAGTGATCAATTTCTGACAGCAGGGGTGTATGTTCAGTTGTTTTTTCTCTGACTTTGGTTCATCCTGATGAACTAACAATAACATGAATTAGTGTTTCTTTTTGCGCTGCAACTCTAATCAGCCTATATATTATGGCTAATTGACTGGTTGTCTCTTCAGCCTATATATTAACATGGATCAAACATCCTTTTTCTCTTGTGAAAACAAATTTATTACTCTCCCCGTCCCATAATGTAAGACGTTTTTTGACTCTAGTGTAGTGTCAAAAAACGTCTTACATTAGGGACGGAGAGAGTATAATTTTCTTCTTCTAATAGCAAAGTGACTGTTTGTTGCAACGGATAAAAAGCAGGCTGATACATGTACACAAACAGGAAAAAACATCCTAGTTTTGGTATATATCACCAAAAATATGTTAGGGTCACCCAATGTTTATCCCTCCTATTTGTTTTGATGATGTGGGGAGGGAGTGATCTGGTCATCAGGGCTAAGGAGTTTTATAGAAACTAGGTATGTGCCCGGAAGCTTTTTTTTTTAATCTATAAAGGTTAGGGCTGTCTTAAGGTAGAAGTGGATGTAATTCCACCTTATATGGCATGGGGCACACGGGAATCACCGGACTAGAATTTTGATTTTGGCGCTATTATAATTTGGTAGTTTGGGTCATGCATGATAAGTACATTAAATGAGCGGCGTGCATGAAGGTGTGGTCAAATATGGCGTGGAATTGAGTGACGTAATTCCACATTATTGCGAAAGGTAAGTTAATTAAGATAGAGATATGGAGCAGAGTAGCAAGGTCTTTTTGCTATAACACAATTTTCCTCGTATGCAGTAAATGCAGATTGGGTGGTTTGCAATGACGAGTGACACACACTATTATGCCCAACTGGGTCTTTTAGAAGTAAAAAAAATAGTGAGATGCTATTTTTATAAAGACTGGACAATTGCTCGTGTGTTGCAACGGAAATATAAACATTCTAGTAGATTAGCTCGTGACTGCATGTCTATCATTATATTGATGCGCTAAAATCTTAGCAAGTTTATGTATGCAATCGCCACGATTTACCTGCCATTTTATTGTTAAGCACCTATTTGGTAAGAATTTAATTACTTACCGAACAAAATGTGCTTTTTTATAAGTTAATAAAACATGAGACAATTGATTATATTTTAGGGAGAATTGATGGAGAAAAATCAGACATGAGAGAAAAAAATCAAAGCGGAAAAGGAAAGAGTGGCACATCTTACATTCTTAAGAAGTTGATCCCCACTACTACCAATTCTCTTAACATGCACACCTTCCACATCAGCTTCATGCCACATCAGCGTTCAGTTCCCAATTTCGTGTGTCGACCTCAGCAAAGTTACCACGTCACAGCCTATTTTTTTGTTTAAAAACAACGTTTCGGTCGCTTATTATATGAAGGAAGAAGAAACGTTGGAGCTCCTCACAATTGCAGCCCCGTCTCCTCAATTCCCTGCATGGCCCAGCAATTAATTTCATGCCTCTTAATTGTAGGCAACAGATCCCCTTCGTCTTTATCTTATCCATCAAAAACTGATGGAAGAGTAACAGATAGACCTAATCCTCCTTTTAAGCAACCGATCTCCTAGCTGCTGCAGGCGCGAGGTCGAGGTTGTCGACTCTGGGTGCT